AGGAAACTGGCAATGTCCTGGCTGCAGAGGACGTGGCAGTCAAATGTGCTCGATTGAATATGGAGTCGAGTGAGTCCAATCCTTTGTTCTTCTCTGACGGTCAAAAAAATCGCTCTGATGAAATTATTCTCTCAGTTGATGATATGGCAGCTGCTGATGCAGCTGCTGACATTGCTCATGCCAGAAGTACGAGGTCATGGATAGATTGGGATCCCTACTGGGAACCATTAGAAGACATCGGCTCGGAGGAACATGCTTCCATCAATTGGGATGTCGCTGAAAGAGCAGCCTTACATAGCGATATTCTTGATGATGATCAGAAGGCAGATCACCTGGAAGCAGCAATAGAGGCCGGTTCTGGCTGGCACGAATCTGTTTCTCGGTGCATGGTGGAAGGTCCAGCAGTGGAGGGGGATGTCAATGCATTGTCCGACGTGCCAGGTCTGTCGATTGACAGAGACCACTACGTTCCGGACAGGGATATGGCAGTCGTCCGTCCAGAAGATAACCTGTCCTTTGATGAACCTGAAGTCAAATTCCATCGGGGCCTGGAGAATCACGGGGTTTTTCTGCGAAGTGGTGTTGATATCAAGCAAGAGGAACGGGGAAGGGCAAACAAGGAACGGCAAGTAGCAGGAAAAACAGCAGGTAACGGAACGAGGAGCAGTGTGGAAAAAGCATCTGTTGGGTCAGAAAGAGAATTGTCCCCGCAGAGCCAGCTATTGCTTTCCAGCGAGGACTGTGCTAAGCAGAAGCAAGAAGGGGTCTCCCCATCATTAGTTGACGGTTTTCAGTTCACAGGTTCGGTCCATTTGGAGCTGAGCACACCAGACACAGTGGCTAGAGCGGTATTTCATTCAACAGAAATGCAGGGAGACGACTTTCCATCTTTCGTTGATGCTTCAAATGATGGGATTAACCTTCTCCAGATTCACAGGCAGCAGCGGGAGCAATACTGTGGAGCGAGGAATATAGATGGTGCTGTTGCTACCACTGCGGACGAGGGTTTAGAGTCACAGGCAAAAACGACGTCTCTCACTGAGTCTAAAGGATCAGATATCGATGGAAACAGAATGATAAATGAGGCAGTGGGGGTGATATCTGAGGAGGAGAGGGGAGAATGTCTTGCAAGGACTGACACAGGTGCAGCAGCCAGACAGCTCCTGGGAACAGATGAGAGCCCAAGAGCTCGACGCACTAGAAGGAAAAAGCTGAACGACTCTCACTCTAGGAATCAGGATGTGGAACGTATGGATGGGACTGCTCAGGGCGCTTCTCAGCAAGAGTCGATGGCTGTTTTGTCTTCGAAGAATGAGAAAGAAGAGAAGGAAGGCGGCAGCGAAATCGATGATGCCAACGAGTATAAAGGACCAGCTGTTGATCACAACAGAATGACAAATGAGACAACTGGAGACCTGGCAGCGGTAGTAATAGTTGAGGAGGAGAGCGGAGAATGTCTTCCAAGTAGTGGAACAGGTGCGGCAGTTATTCAGCACCTGAAAGCGGACGAGAGCCCAAGAGCTCGGCGCACTGGAATGAAAAAGTCTCAGGACTCTGAGTCCAGGAATCCGGATGTGGACAGTATGGATTGGACTGCCCAGGGCATTTCTCAGCAAGAATGTAAAGCTGTTTTGTATTCGAAGAATGAGAAAGAAGAGAAGGAAGGTGGCAGCGAAATCGATGATGTCTGGAAGCTGGACACGTCGATGAAGTCCCTGAAATGCTTCACTGTCAAGCAGAGGTCAAAACTGATGGCTGCCGGATTTTACACGGTGAGTAAAACTTACGGTTCCTCTCATATGTGTTTCATGCTACCGTCTTCACCCGAATAGAACGCCCAGTCATTATGGCTGAATGTAGACTGAAAGAGAGTTGCACGAAAAACAGCTATCATGACTGGGCGCTCTATTCGGGTGACAATGATAGTGCTATGTTTGGAGTTTGATGGTTGGAAAAGGCTACGCATGTCCTTTGAGGGGGAAAGCGAAGGAAAGAAAAAAAGAAAGAAAGAAAAAGAAGCCTTAAGGCGGTGACTCCTCTCCGTTGTGCAGCGCATCCGTGGGGTTCATCTTGCGACAGGAGATTGATAGTTGAAAGTTGAAAGTCAAAAATTATCAGACAACATCACAATCATGCACAGTGTGAAAATTCAAGCAAGACCCTGTGTGTCCCATCTGAATTATAGACCTTACCAACTGGCCTGGCTCAGTTGGTACACCCCATGAACTGTTGGAATACAGTCCGCAGTTCAAATCCCTTGATGAACTCAATTGCCTGGGCCCGGTCAGCCCTATGGTATTATCTCAAGTCTGTCACCCCTTTGAGAAAGAGGGGAAAAAAAGAAAAGAACTATAGACCTTGCTATGCTTCCAAATCCCCTCATGTTTTTTACCATTTGATATTTAGCTCTCATGAGTATGATAGTACCCATCCAATCCAAAGGTACAATCACCTGGTAAAAAGGTCCCTGATGATATGGCTACGGCTAGCTACTTGAAGGTAAACAGACTGACGGTCCACGTGGTCCAAGCACCTTCTTTTACCAATGGAGAACCTTAAACCACAAGTACACGCGTACTACACGGCCCCAGCCTTGCAGCCCGTAAGTTGTCGCCACAAGAAAACGAGGCTGAAACGTCAAACGCTGGGCCAGCCGTTGATAAATTCCATCGGCGGTCCAGTTTTCGTTTCGCGCCTCCAGAATTTGAGGTGTCCAGGCCCGTGGCCCAGGTGCCTATGTACTTGTGCTTTAACCACCAGTGACCCCAACGACTTTGAAAATCGTCGCCATAAAAAAGGATGTGAAGCAAATGCAATCAGGAGATGAAATTGTCTTCCTGGTAAGGATTGGTGCAAATCTCTGATGACTCTGTGATGAGATGAAATGGCTTTTTTTTTTTTTCAGTAGTTTCAAGTTTGATAGTTTTATGCTGTGCTGATAGTCAAATAGTTTTATCGCTGACTTATTTATGGTGGTCTCTCTTCATTCTCCCCATCTTTGAATGATGATCGAAATAATCGAGCTGTAATGACCCGCCAAAGCACAGACTGAGAACACTGCTGATTTCTGGGATTTGCCACTGGAATGAATGCCTTGCCGTGATTCCCGCATTCTGCTGTGTTTTCCAAGTCTGTGTGTGTGTGCATGCCTGCCCGTTTGCTTGCCTGTCTGAGTGCTTGACGGTTGAGTGTGTGTGTGACCCGTAAGGGTACCTGTTGGTTGCAAGGCCCCGCAGGGCCGGTACTTACCTGTGGCCGTGATTTTGAAGGGTTGCAGGGGGGGTTAACACGCAGGTAGCGGGGGTAGGCCCACGACACTTAGAGCAGCTGGGGAAAAACACTCAAGTAGCAGGTAGG